GTGCTTTTTACGTACATTTGCTAGGCAAAAAGCCATGTAATAGAATGACGTTATATTTATATAATATTATTTCAACAGTACCTGAAGTACTCAAGGTGACAACGGCTACAAACAGCGAATACCAACTTTGCCCAAAAATTATGCAGCAATCCGGACCTATGTTGGCTGACGATGCGGATCATCAAGTTACAAGAAGTTACAATGTTCTGGTATGTAACTTAAAAAGAAGTGTATTTTATAAATTAATATCTATCTGTACTCCTACAGCAAAGGCCGGCGTGACTTTGAAAACCTTCGTGTTAAATTAGATTATTACAGTATTATGATAGGTGAAGGCAATTTAGTGGTGATTTGAGGTAATTTTGATTAGGTTCCCAAAATCGTCGCAGTCGAAAATATTCAGCGGTATTATAATATTGACGTTTGTTTAGTGATCCGTTGGCATCGATAAGTTAATCTAATTATCGTATGATTGGTTCAAGGTCCGTGGTGAAAAGGAGAAAGAGGGAATATCTTCATCGTTGAAGAATACAGAGGTCAATGTAATACTGGACTTTGATAAAGATGATATCCCTCGCTCATTGCGACCACCGACTACAGCCGAACATAAAGTCACTAAATTCAAAAGGTATGTGATTTTGATATCGTCTTTTGATCTATTTTAGAGTAAGTAGTTTTTAGATTTAACTTGCAATGCGTTAAATATTTAAAATTGATTGTATCTATTGGTGAGTATTTTCATTTATTTGTTTTGTGCTTTAATGACAACTATGATACTATGCCGTGGTATTCTAAATGTGTATAGTGTCTTTTTACATCAGTCATGGTAAATGCATTGCTCTACATTTCAGTAAAAGACATGATGAGGAGAAGAAGAAACGAAAGTCAAAAGATATTAAATTACCAGATGTGCCAGTGAAGAAAGATCTTCAATACGATAAATATYATACATCTGAAGCCGAATTACAAATACCATCCCAGAGCATAAATTCTCCAAAATCATTGCAATCAGAAGAAGTAAAGAAGAAATCATCTGACAACATCGAACTCCAGCTTTTTAATAAAAAGGTAACATAGCCATCTCGGCAACTGTTCGAATGACGCAAATGATGTTAGCTCTAAGTGTGTTGTGGAATGATTCATTTAAATGTCAGGACAGAATTTATAATTTGATGTCATCATAATCATTGTACAGAGCTTTGATAAGAAGAAAGCGTCACTGACGACAAAGGATTCAAAAGGACAAAAAACAAAAGTGGTACTCAAAACTCACGCTATTGAACGTCTTGAAGAAAAGAGAGAATCATCCAAACCACTAGCTGCAGAAGACGTAAGAGATGGTAGCAAAGCCGAGGAAAGGGGCATTTCGGTATGCATGCTATTCTTGTCAGTCAAAGTTTTTACATTTCTTGATTAGAAAATATAGTTGGTTATGCTTTTTTTATTGTCCAGGGATGTGATGTACTTTTTGGAAAGAAAGTACCCCCGTCGTCCAAGGATAGCGACACGTTCGATCTCTCTACACCTGACAGACATAACGTCCAACCAGTATGGCGTCTATTGACGAAACCCAAAGATCCTTCTTTAGACAGTGAACTCATCAACAAAAGGTACAAATATTTCATTTTGATGCACCACTTTGGAAATGAATTTAAAAAGAATAAAAAGTAACCATTAAATTGTATGACTGAACATTACTTATAAATAATGCACTGTTTCGTAAGTATTTCTGTAACCCTGACAAATAGTAAATAATATTGACAAAACGTTTTCTCTTCGAAAGCTTAAAAAAAATTCAACGATAGATTTTATATATTTCAGAACAAATCATAAAAAGGCCAAAAGAAAGGGATCAAGGGCATCGCAGAGGATGTGCTCAGAGGAAGAGCCGCCCAGTGAAGGTAAGCTGGAGATAACTCCGAACGATAATAATCTTCTAAATCATGCGCAATAACGTACAATAACATGCTTGCATCACATGCTAACTGTCTTATAAATGCAGAACATTGCATTCATATTCACGTACACATTCTTATATCTTCACTGGATCACGTGATGCGTTCTTAAGAACAATAATATTCATTTGCCCAATAGTTTCTGATGATTACAATTATCCATTTAGACACTGCTGGCTCGAAAACTGAATGTGAAGGTCAGTTTGTTAACAACAAAACAAAGGGACGCAACAGACGTCACAAGCCACTCATACTACCAGATGAAAGTCCCTGTTTACAGAGCAAGCCTCTTAATGCAGCACATTTCGTCAAGAAAACTAATCAGAGAGCAAGGCAAAGGAATACCAATTCACATAAACAGCTAAAAGACAATGTACATGCAGAAGAGAGATCTCAACTGGCAAAGGAACGAGAACCTCCTCCCCTCGATGTGCAACATTACCCATCATTGAGTCCGTTAGATATCATGTGCAACAAGCCATCCACATCAAATATCTGGAATAAAAAAGTCGAGCAAAGAGCCCCTACTAAATTCAAACCATTGGAGTGCAATACCATTTTAGTAGATATAAAATGAGCGTTCTGCGCCAGGGAGGAACGGGAGGAAGCGAATTTCTGGACGCTGATTGGTCGAAACTCCGGAGAACAATGGAGTGACGTCACATGTCACGCCACGGTCACGGTTACTGAAAAGAACCTGACGTCATTAGTCACGCCACAGGTAACGCAGACTAGGAGAAGTGATGTCACTAATCAAATCACGATGAAGAGGGAGGGGTAGGAAGCCACGAAGCGCAGCGGAGTGACTTCCGAGAGAGTCGGAAAAATCAAAAAAAAAAGTAAGAAACAAGAACGTTTATTGTTAATAGAAAATATATGAACTGCTT